TTACAGAGGTGAGTGAGTCTAGGAACCTTTACACATGACATTACACATGTCATTAAGTAAAAAGGTTTTAGGTTTTTTTTAAAGGGCATCCCAGAGGAGTGGATGGGTTTATACTTTTGGCTGGTTTGTTTCTCACGGGTGAGGTAGAAAGAGAGGTCACTCCATGGTTCATCAACCAAAAGAATGAGGGCCGGAGCACTAAGCTCAAAGGCATAAAGCAAAAGGCACAAAGCTGAAATAGGGCCATAGCCCAAAGGCATGAAGCCAAAGAAATGCAGTATCCTGAAAGACCCATAGGGCCAAGGAATAAAGGCACCACCCAATGAGGGGATGCTAGGACACAGAATGCTCACTTGTGGAAAATGCCAAAGGTGATTGTGGGACCCAGTCATAGCCCTCTTGGCAGTAGCCAGTGCTGTGTGGGATCCCAGAAGATGGGGAGTTTGAAAATGGGCTATTCATCCAGGTCTAGGATACCTGCATGCCTCAGGCAACCTGCCCTTGGGCAGAGGGAACACATAGAGAGCCTGGTCAAGTCAGACACCAGTGCTATAAAATTACAGAATGAGGAAGGACCATTAGCAGGTCCCATGGTGGGTAAAAGACAAATACACCATGCAGACAAAGCCTGAGTGCAGTTTAATGAGAGAAGGGAAAGGGGTGGGGAGAGGAAGAGGAAGAGAAAGAAGCTGAGACCTGCTTGCCTCTTCAGAAAAACAGCAAGAAGAGAGCAGGAGTAGGTGCAGCTTTTCTCTTACAGGGACTTTTGCACCTGCAGACAGTCTGGGAACAGTTTGACATGCACAGAAGGGTGACACACTGTGCCAGGTTTCCAAGGGACAGGGCCAAGGTGTGCGTGAACGCTAACAGTGAATGCATGCCATGTGAAACTATCACTTCCTTGAATCTCCTAAAATCTAAAATTGCCATGGGAGTCCAACCAGCTCTTACAAAGCCTCTATCCACAGGCATCCAACCAGCTCTTACAAAGCCTCTATCCACAGGAGTCGAACCAGCTCTTACAAAGTCTCTATCATTTGTCAATTCTTACAAGGTTAAGGCTGGTTGTTTGAAAACCTTAGGCTGTTCCTCTCTAACCTTAAATGCAATGCTGAAATTGGTTCTTTAAATTTGTCTGTCTGGAATTAAATATCTATAATCTGTTTTATTAATTACTTTAAGGGCTGTATCTTGGCACTCACATCAAGTAACTTTTTAAGAGATAAACCAAGAATTATCAAAAAGAAAAGGATTATCAAAATAATAATTAACATTATACCAATTCCAGTTAAATTAATTATCCCTTCATTTAATTGATTTAATTGTTCCAATTTTAAATCATGCATTGCATAATCATACACAGACCTACCTTTGTCTGTCATAATTGTGTTTCCCATATTTTAACTTGTGAAAAACTCTTTTAGCTAATTCTTCCCTTTAGAAATTCCCAGTTTTCTCACCAAATCTGCTGCTGATGCTGCTGTTGATGAAGATGTGAGGCTTGTTGCTGCTGCACAGAACAATAAAAGCCTGACCAGATTTCAAGGCAACTACCTTGAAGTTTGGCAGCAGCCCAAGAAGGGGGACCAGGGAAAGCCCACCAGGAGAGAGGGAAGGAAAACCTAGCAGACAGGGTGGTGACTCTGGTCATGTGTATTTCCAGCCTATGTCAGTAGCTATAAAGTCACAGACCAGTGGATTTTTTGTGAATCATTACCCCCAAAGATGGGTACAAGATGTAGTCTGAATTCTAATTGTAAAAACAAGTGGGGTCCTTGGGGTACCAACCTTTAAGGTTCAGCTAAGGCATTATAGCTGCTGAAGGAAAAATTGCTAAAGAAATCTGAGGGGATAAATGAAATAACTCATATGTGATTCTTCTTCAGCATGTCTTTTTAAATGTTCTTTTTTGTTAAAAATGTTCACAGTTTATACACTCTTATTATCATCAATTACCCAGCCTTAGTCGGGTTCAGGACTGGAATTCTTTAGTGCTATAAAAGATAGATGAGGATTTACAAACAGAAATCTGTGGTTCTTGGCTCAAAGGTAGGAGTGGCTTAGTGTACATCCAGTGAACTCCTTAAGATAGAGGAAAGGTAATTAAAAAAGACACTACATCATCAGGGAATTGTAGAAGCGGAGACTGGTGTGCTACACTACATCTTTAATTGGTTAAAGGGTTAAAACGTTAATTTTCAGTTCAGTTACAAATAAGTCAAGGATTGTTTTTTTACTCAGTGTGTCCTTTTTTTTTTTCTTCCAGCATGCATAGATAGTATTGGGTTACTAGGCAACATGTGTAAACAAACAGGGGAAGTTATGACCCTTGCTCTATTAGAGCATTCATCAAATGTTGCAAGTTCTAAGGGCCTTTTAGATCTGAAGTTTACACCTTTGCTCTAAGCAGTAAAAACAAAGAGGAAACCCAGCACTCAAAATTATCAGATCTTGGGTATGATGTTTATCAGCCACTCTGATTGCCAGTGTCTTACCAGTGGGAAGGATGTCTTTCTCTGGCGTGTGGGCAAATAGTTAATTATTTCTCTTGCTGTCTCTGAGAGTAGAACACAAGCAGCACATTTCCTGAAATAAAATCATCAATAAACTGAGATGAAGGCGAGGGTATGCTTATTTTTGTCTAAATTTCTGAGCAGCTATAAATGAACAACTTTGAGTAAGAGGTAATTCTATGTGCTTGGATATCTGGGAATATCTTAAATGAATGCTTTTGCCTGCACCCTAAACACTGACCAATTGCCTGTCAATAAAAGTAACTGCAGGAAGGCAGATCCCTGCATTTACATAGGAGAAAGAAGAGCCTGGCAGTGGGAAGCTGTCTTCACACATAGCCAGGGAAGTGTAATCAGTAAACCCCAAAGTATAGGAAAGACAGTATTCAGTAAATGATCAAATAGGTCTGAAATGTGGGAATCCCCAAATTTGTAACAGAAGGGGAATCAGCTATAGGGAAAAATCTACAGCAAAAAAATAACCACTTAATTTACAAGACAATAATGTCAATTTGACCTGCATCTTGGTTTAAATATCTATCAAAGCTCTTGGCTCTGATTAGTTGCCTTGTGAAATGAAAGTGTAAATTACTGAATGATTCTTCTGTTTGTAGCAGGGGTGGGATCTCCAAGGATCTTCCTACTCTCCCTCCCTATGTGAGGCCTTGAACTGTAGGCTGAGCATGCTGCACAAAGACCACAGCGAGCTTGGGTGGGGTGGAGTCTGGGGTGAGGACAGTGCCTCCAGTGGAGCCGTGGGGCAGAGGGTGGGGTTGTAGGGATGTGAGGTGGAAGGTGGGGCCTGAGCTGGCGAGGGTGGGGTCTGGGGTGGAGTTGCCAGTTGAGGTGCAGAGTCTTAGGCAGAGGGAGGGATTGTGGGATGGAGAGATGGGGCCTGGGGTAGAGTGCAGGCTTCAGGGATGGAGAGGCAGAGCTAATGGATGAAGAGGTGGGGCTGTCAGATCAAGGGGCGGAACTGTGGGGTGAAGGCCAGAGCTATTGGAAGAGAGCAGGGTTCAGGTTGTACTTTGATAGAGAGGTGGGGCCTGGGATAGAGGAGCTATACTCAGGGATGAAGGGGCAGGCCCTGGGGTGGAGGGCAGGGGAATGACAGGGAGAAGTGGGGCAGAGCCAGGTCCCAGCCATCAGGTGTAAACACCACCCTGACTGGCTCTTCGTGCTGCCATCACCTCCAAGATGATTGACAGGATCTTCTCAGGTACCGTGATGTGGTAGGTGCTTCTGTGCTGCATCATGTGAGGTCCAGTAGGTGGCGGGGGTGGGGGTGGGGTGTTCACGCGGAGTCTGTGTCAGTGTCATGGTCTCTGGTCTCCATCACGTGACCAAGGCCATGGAAAATGTGATACCTTCTGCCCCATTGCTGCTGTTTGGGCTACTCGTCCCATGTCAATGTTGGTGGTGGGCGGTCACATTACTGTCAGTGGGTGGTTTCGTCACTGTGAGTGATGGGTGGTGGATAACTCTATTAGCAGTTATCCAAACCCCATGAGAGGCCTCATGTTCCCTGACCTCCACACAGGCTAGAAGGTGCAGCAGGATGGGAAAATCAGCTACATAGACTTGGTGTGGTTCCTGATCTCAGAGGAGGAAAAAAAGACACAGAACAAGTGGGCAGGTCCTGGGTCCACTGTCTATGACCATCTGTGGCCCGTGTGTGTCACTCCATATGTTCGCAGTTGGAAGCTCATGTGTGACATGGGGCAGCACACAGTCAAATGCTCCTGTGTAACATGGGCAACGCAGTCAGGAGATGGGTCAGCGTCTCCGCAGCTAAATGTACACAGTCAACCGTCACCCGAGTTCTGTGCCAGGAACCCACTTGAGGGACGAGACTGAACCCCACACAAACGGCCCCGAGCAAGACACACACACACACACACCACCTCGCTCAGCCCCAAGTGTATACGCACACACACACACACACACACACACACACACACGTCACCTCAGCTGAGGTACCTAGCGTGAGACCCTCATACACACGCACCTTGGTTGTGGCAAGCGTCTGTAGGACTGCACTGCAGCTGGGGCTAAGGATATGCACGTCCTATGTACCACACAGCGGGTTACGTCAGTCCCCTGCCCTTTGTTGTAGGCAAGTCTCCTGGATTTGTTAGGTATCCTTTACCCTGGACCAGACTGGAACCGTCGCGTGCAGGCTGGGACCCGCTGTCCGCCAAACAGAAGCCGATCTCTGGGGCAGTCGCTGGGAGCCCCGCCCCGCCGCCTTTGAGGGCTCAAACTTCCAGTCCTCTGTTCGTGCGGGGCTCTGGCTCTTGCACCCCCGCACCCGCCTTGGCCGCTAGCCCCACCTCTAACAGCCCAGCCCCAGTCCCTGTGGCCGTGCATCCCGGCCTCCTGGGCTCAAGTTCTCGCTTAGCCCCGGTGTTGCTGCTCGCCCCACCCCCAGGCCCCGCCCCTGCCAGCTCCACCCACTCCAGGGACCGCTCCTTTCCGGCCACGCCCCCAGCATGGCGGCCGCGCGCGCTGCCGTACGACCAGCACTCAGGCTCCTGCTTAGCCGCGGCCTGGCCCCTCGCTATGCCCCGCCGTGCCCGCCACAACCGGCCCGCGCAGGCAGAGTCGACATCTGGAGCCCCTGCGGCGGAGTTAGGAGCGGCTCCCACGTCCGCAGCTGGGAGAGCGGGGCCGGGGTGGTGGGGGAGGACGGAGAGGAGCCCGAGGAGGAGGAGAAGGGAGAGCTGCTGAGCCCGGAACCACTGCCGCTCAGCGACCCGGAGGGAAGGAAGGCACACGACACAGGTAAGCGGAAGGGAGGGGACAGGGAGGGACCGTAGGCGGAACCCAGGTCAGTGGAAGGAAGGAATGGGGCGGGAGAAGACAGGCTGACTGGGCAGGGGTGCAGAAGGGGAGGTATGAGGAGAAAGAAAGGTGGTGTGTGAAAGACCCTCGGAGAGGACTTCCCTCGAGAGGAGACTCTCCCGAAGCCAAGGAACAGGCCGAGACCACACGGATGCAAATAGCAAGAGGTTTATTGGGTAAACACAGGTACCTGCGGGCGACAAAGTCTTTCGGAGGACTTGCGCGCCTGCAGACTGGGGGAAGGTCTTTTTATAGGAAAGAGGGGGGCCAAAAAGCAAATTACAGAAGCAGATACGTGGTTATTGGTCTGATTAGAATGGGGCAGGGGGCATAAGTGGTTTTTCCTTTTCCAGCACAGATGTTTCCTGCTTTGCAGCCAGAGACCCTGACCTCACTCTGTACTTACAATTGTTTGTCAAGAGCCTTGTAAAATGATGTTACAGCAGTTAAGCTGGGGTCCTTCGTAGGGGGAATTGTTTCTTTTGTAAACTGCTGATATTTTAAGTTTGGCACATGTGCTGACTATAGGCATCCTGTTTTCCTACGAGACTGGGATGTTCTCATGAGAGTGGCTAGCTGCAGGTCCTGAGTGAGGGTCTCAAGCAAACAGGATGTTCTCATGAGAGTGGCTAGCTGCAGGTCCTGAGAGGGTCCTGAGGGTCTCAAGCAAACAGGATGTTCTCATGAGAGCTGGCTAGCTGCAGGTCTTGGGGGGGGGGGTCTGTAGGGTCTTTCAGTGTGGACGCCCAGGGAGGCGCACAGGGGACAGCGAAACTACTATGGGCATCAGCGTGGGAAGGAGTTTGTGATGGGGCAAAAGGGGTTAGTGTGTGCCAGCCTCCCTGGAATCCATCCAATCCGCCCCAGGGTCCTTCCGAGCTTCCCCATGGTCCATGTGAGCTGCAGCTCCGAAGGACGCCATCTACCCTCTGCCTTGCCCCCTCATAGAGTGTCAGGTGGCGAGGCCGCCGCGCTGGTGCACGCATTACACGGCTGATCTGTGATGCGGACCCTGGTGGCGCACTTGGGGATTCCCAGAGAGCAAGTTTGTCTTTGGCAAGGGAAACTACCCAGCTGACGGGTGAGTAAGCCCCGCCCCTTCATGTGACACGCCCCATGCCCAACCTGGTTTGCCTGTGTATGCTTGCATGTTCTTGCTATGTGAATGTGTGTATGTTCCCTCCGTGTGTGTGTATTTCCCTCTTTGTGCATGTGTGTGCTTTCCGCTGTGCAGTGTTACAGTGTTCCTCAGCATGCACATGCCTGTGCATCCCTCCGTGTAGCTTGTGTGTGGTTTTCACCATGCACAAGCATGTTTGTCCCTCTGTGTGTAGCGTTGTGTGTGGGCCTCATGTGCACATGCGTGTGCCTCCCTCTGTATGTAACATGCACACCCAGATTTGCCTGCACCTGACAGACCCTCCCCTATTTCTCAGAGAAGACCAAGGAATCTGTGCACATCATGTGTGTGTTTCTGAACATGGAGAGGATGACAGCTCTGACCAAGGTATGGAGTGTGTGATTGTGACCTATGACCCCTTGTGTGTTAACACTACCCCTTCCCCTGACCCCCATGTCCCAGCCTCACCCCTTTCCCCTCTGCTCCTGGGTCACTCTGGTGTCCTGACCTTACCCCTTCCATTGACCCCGTATCCCATCCTCACCCTTTCCTCTGTCCCTACATCCCCTGATGCTCCTGTCTCTCAACCTCACCCCTCCCTCTGAGCCCCAAGTCCCAGTCTCACCACTTTCTTTATGCCCAGGTCTCTGACCCGTGTCCTGGCCTCACCTATTCCTCTGACCCCAGAACCCTGACCCCCTTATTCTGACTCCTGTGTCCCAGCCTCACCCCTTCCCCTGACCCCTGTTTCCCATTTCCTGGCAGAAGACCCTGCAGAGTGCCTGGGGTGTCCATGTGATGGACAGGTTCACTATTGTCCTGCACATATTGTGCTGTGATGCCCACCCCAGGAAGGCCTGGCTGCAGCTGGCACTGGTGGAGCTTCACCCCTGCTCTGGTGGGTCACCCTTGAAATTACCTGTAGCAAGTGAGAAGGAAAACACAGAACACACAACAAACCCACTTAGGAGTTTATTAGAGGCCTGGGAAGTCAGTGTGAAGAGAAAGGGAGGAAGATGGCACGTCCAGCTTTTATTTATTTATTTATTTATTTATTTTACTTAGACATTTTATTTATTTATTTATTTTTTTATTGAGAAAAGGAAAAAAAAGTTTCCGCCTCCTCCCAGCCTCCCATTTCCCTCCTCCTCCCCCCACTCCTCTCCCCCTCCCTCTCCAGTCCAAAGAGCAGTCAGGGTTCCCTGCACTGTGGAAAGTCCAAGGT